CAATCCTGCAGACATTAAAAGAGTAGTACTTTATTGCCATGAGACTTAGACACTAAAATGGTGACTTCAATAGGGCCATCCACAGTATTAAACACTAAGTTTAGTAGTAAGCGTTTGCAGGATTAAGCCCTTAGGACTCAGCAGATAAGTAATCAAGGAGACAATCATTTCCAATCATTTAAAAAATATATTTATTTGTACTCTCCACAGCTATACATATTTTGTATTTATTTGGGGACTTAAGTTACTTATTTATAAAAATAGCTTTTCAGTTCACCTTAGAGAATCAAAATACAAATACTATTAGAGGTCAATACCTGTATTCACATACACAACTAATATGCAAGTACGTGACTCCCTTTGACCTGTTCATGGGAGCACCATTTGAACAGCAGAGAGCAGAATTTCGCCTGCAGTGTGTTACAAATTCTATTAAAAAACTGGAAAAAAGAAAAGCATCACTCAGCAAAACAGCAATGTTTCAACAGATAATGAATTAAAAAGAGTATACAATGGGTTAAATCCTGGCCTCATATAAATCAGTGGCAAAGCTCCAGTTTATTTTTGTGGGGCCAGGATTTCACTCAAAGGATTTAATATGTTCCTAAGATCAGGAAAACTTAAATAGCATTCTCAAAAATAAAGTAGTTGGATTTCTTTTTTGTCAGTGATTGATCCACCTGTCTGCTAATTTATCTAAGATAAGTTTTTATGAGACAGCCACGACTGTAGTAACTGAGCACCTCAAAAAAAAAAAAAAAGGTAAATACATAAGAATATAATAGCTTGCTCACTCAGTATCTCAGGATCAGGCTCTAAATTGCTTGTAAAATACTGATGGGAAGGTTGAATTTTGGGGGTTTGTTTTAGTGTTTTGTCCAGTTTTTGATGTATCTTTTTCTGTGCTAGACAGTTTTAACCAAAATTAAATTATTTCCCATTACCTTGATTCTTTGTATTTTGTATCTATCCTTGATACAACTTAAAGTTCATTTTTGTGTTACAGCTGTGGCACAGTTACTAAAACCAAATATTTCTGTGCCACTCAAGAACTAGCAATTAATTGTTACAATATAACCATAGACAACAGGTACAACACAATTAATATGACATCTCATTACTTTAAAAGAGACCACTTTGCTCTCCATTCAGCAGGGACTTGAACTTGCAGACTCTGGAGGGCATGATAAGATTTTCCAATAATAATATATTTATGTCCACACTTCAGCTCTCTTTGTATATAGTTGCACTTTAACTATTCAAGGAATATGGATTTGATCCTACAAGAAACCTAGGTACTAGGGGAGAACCCTTGAAGCTGTACACTATCCCATCTCATGAAGTTTGATCTTGCAAACTCTTCCTCCTGTGAGTAAGGACTATTCATTCCCATGAGCATAGGTTTGCAGGATCAGAACCATGGAGAGGTACTAGTACTGTATGTTTATTACAGAAAGGATAGTTGCAGAAAGCAAAGTTCTAAATGTTAAACTTCATTTTTTACAGTTTTAAAACATGGATGGATTGCTCATAACAAATGGTGGGACCATTTGTGGCTGTGCCTTTGTGTTCAAGAGTTAAAGGTGCTTCCAAGTTTGTCCTCTTATGTTAGGATTTGCCTGGGCAGCTGTGATCATTTTTAGATAACTTTTATTATTTTTGTAAAGAAACAAATGCAGTTATGTTTTTTAAATGTTTAAATGAATTCCAAAATATTTTGTAAACTCAAACTTTTTTTGAGTCTAACAAAACATTAACTTTTACCTCTAATGACAAATACTGAAAGTGCTGCTGATCAGTATCACGGTTTGGATGTCCTTGGTCCATGTAGAGATGTCTGGCAGCAACAACGTGTTAACTACTGCTGTGTGAAGTGAATTTTCAGCTAATACATTTGGTTATATTTACTCCTTCAACAGCTAGGTAAACATTAGAACTAATTAAAATTAACTTTAAAAAAGTTCTAGGTATCACAAGGAAAGACAAAGCAAATTCAGGGTTTTTTTTTTTAATATATTCCAAATTAGATCTGGGTAAATATTGAAGAAAAATTTACAAATAAAATATTTGCAGAATTCATATACACAAATATTTTTGAATTATTCACCTGGCGCTATGGACCTGATTCATCAAAACTCTTAAGCATGTGCAAAATCTCATTGAAATCAAAACTCAAGCATGCGCTTTAATGCTTTACTAAATGATGGCCTAAACAGTATTTATCAAATAATGTAGGGGGAAAATTACATTTTGATTAACTTTATTTGACCAGTTCTATCCCTGTTCCCAATATAACAACTTTTTGCATTACATTAAGATTGTGTAATTTATTTTAATGATGATAAAATGGTGTGTGTATGAGATATATTGCATTATGAAAAGTTTATGAATATAATTACCATTACATATATAAAGTTAATAGACCACTTTTATAGGAGTAGTGGTGTAATCCTGTTTCCTGGACAAATTTCAATCTGAACATTACACTCTACCTTAGAATTCTGCCTGTGGTCTATCCTGACTCAGGGCCTAGAGCAGGATCTTTTCTAGGATTAAAGATTTTCAAATGAGGGTTCATAGATGTAGAGATGAAGAAAGGAACCATATAGACAATTGTTACCAATAATTATTTTGTTCCTCATTCTTGTCTTCACCTCAACCCTTATTCTCTGCCCAAGTACGTAGGAAAAGGTGAAAGTTAGAGATAGAGACTTGTAAAACCCTATTTCCAAAGCTTGTGTTCGGGGAGGAAGAAACAAAGAAACATGTTGGGAGTTCCCTATATAGCAGCTTTATATGTATGTCAGAGTTGGGTGTTGGCTCTTTCAGCACAAAATTAAATATGGACATTCCTATAATAGATCTTGCCTGGCTAAAGCCAGGCTGCTGAAGTATCCTGGGTTTTATATATTTCCTGAACAACAGGCTTTATCCATCAGACGTAGTGGACATATATATGTTCCAGGTATGGCATGGAAACAAGTGGATATTAGTCTCCCTAAAATCATCTTTGTTTTGAAGAGAAGTTCTTATACCCTTAACAAAGCCAGAAAAGAACATCTGCTGTTCTCAAACTTATCTTTTTGGTGCAGTTCTGATTGTATGCTATCTGGATTGTGGTCAAAAGAAGATACTGCACTCAGGTGGAATATCAGAAGCAGAGAATGTGGCACTCTGAAGACTTGAAGCCCCTGGCTAAGCTCACCTATTGTAGATGTTATTGCTGTTAGTAATACCTTACAGATAAGAAATGATACATTGAAGACAAAGAATGGGTAAATGAGCTCTCTGGTCTAAAGGTGAGTCCCATTGAAATAGGATTGATTGATTTTCTAGGAAAATTGTATTAGGAACATCTCAGTAATTCAGACACAAGGAGATAATGTGGTAAAAGGGTAGAATATGCATAGATTCCTGATGGTTAAAATGATAGTTAAGTGGTCTCTGAGGGTATGTCTACACTGCAATAAACACTTGCAGCTGGCCCATGTCAGCTGACTTATGCTCACAGAGCTCAGGCTGCAGGGCTGTAAAATTGTAGTGTAGATGTTCAGGCATGGGTTGACCCAAAGCCTGGGCTCCAGCCCAGGCCCAAACATTTACACTGCAGTTTTATAGCCTTGCAGCTCAAGCCCCACAAGCCAGAGTTAGCTGATGTGAGGTTAGATATATCCTGAGGTACCAAATACTGGGTCTTTAGAAAATCCTTGTATCAGATATTGGTGAATATGGTGGTAAAGTTTACAACAGAGTTAAGGTGATTGTGTTGGTGGAGTATACTACAAAAGATTTTTTTTATTTTTATGCAGTTAGTACTAGAGATGACCCACACTGAGCCCTGTCCAATGCCAGGGAAAACATAAAATCTGTCATGACTGAAAGAATTCATATAGTTTGTAATGAGGTGTGAGAAACATGGAATTGTGAAAATGCCCAATGCCCTCTGTCCTTCACTGAAATGAACACAGGCAGATGTGTGCTCCTGCTTGGACCCACAATGAAGCCTATGGGGCTCTATGAGGGTGCTAGGGTATACCTGTGCATAACTCATTGCAGAGCCAGGACCTACATTATAGGCATTGCTAGTAGCATTGTCTGTTACTAAAGTTGTCCAACACTTCCCATTGTAAGTCCCAGTTTATAGGTTTACCAAAATTTAACTGTTTGGGCTGAAAATTTCCATGCTGGGTGTGTGCCTTAGGCTGAATTTATGTATTTATTGGGAAATGTTGCCCAGAATGGCTCAGCTGATTCTGAGAATGAGGTTAGAGAAAAATACATTATTTTGCCCATGGTAAAAAGTCATGGTGCCTTTGTCTTTGAGCCTCTTTAGCACCCCCAGGTTTAGGAGTAAAAACTTGAAATTTGGCAGGGGGTTGCCTATGGGTACCTGATATAGAGGGTTACACAATTTAAAAAAAAAATCTTTTATGTCATTGCTCTCTTGTACAGCTCTGTGTTACTTAACAACCAGCTCTGGTAGAGCTGGGAAAGTGAGAGGAAAAAGTAGCAAAAATTTGATTTTTTTTTCTTATTTATTTTTCAAAAATTTGAAACTTCGTGGGATTTTTTGGGAACCTCCTCCCACTCAAACCTAGTTTTAAACCATACCTCGTTCCTTGTGAAATTTTGATTTTATCCCTAAACTGTAACTGCTCTTTCAAACACTCAACTCCCCCCTCCCCTAAAAAGAACCCTCCCCTGCTTATACTTCATAATAGCAACGCGATGCTTCAGGGTGTGGCATGTTGGGATGGTTGTGGCAGGAGGCGCAGCAAAGACACTTCAGCATGGATGCACTCCGTGACCTTGCTGTGACTCATTGCTAAACTGCTGTGCAAATGAGCCACAGCTTGTTCTGTGAGCGCCCTGCAGAGCCTTCTGATTGAAGATGAGCCATAAAGAGAGATTGAGTCACTGATAAGGGGAGTGGAACATTAACCACCCCCTCTCCAGCAGTGGTCCAAGGATCAAGTCTTTATGGAGCTCGGCAGGAGGAGATGGAGATGCCCGCTTGGAGGGACCTCCTCTTCTCGCAGCTAGGCTCAGTGTGCAGGAGCAGCAGGCGGGGAGGGGGATGGCGACACCCTGGTCACGAAGGGGATGAGCACAGAGACCTGCAAACCAGTCCAGATTCCCAGCCCCCGGCGAGCAGGAGGAAGCAGGACGAGATGAAAGTCCCGCTGAAGGTAAGGCGAATCCCGCCGTCCCCTGGGGGGCAGAGGGAGGGGGCGTGTTAGGCTGCGATCCTTAATTGTCCTCCTCTTCAGCTTCCCCTCCCTGGTCCTAGGGCTCGCCTGCTTCCTCCAGGTTCTGCTGCTGCCACCTCTGCCCTTAACCCTTTACAAGTTGACCTACGTTCCAAGCGATGTAAAGTTGTTGCAGGCACCCCAGCCCAGCTGCTTTAGGCAGCACCAGGGAGGGAACGTGGGTGCGGCTTAATTTGCTTTGATGTGATTTATTGTATCTTGAAAGCTTTTTTCTCTCTCTCTCTCTCCACCCCCTAGTTCATTTTAATATCGGGGGGAGGGGGGGCAGGTTCTGTTACTACTCTATGTTTTGCTACAATGAGCCATGCATTGTGGATGTAAAGTGTATGTTTGGCGTTATCAAAATGGATTTACACAGTCTGAACCCTGGGGGTCGCAGAGAAACGATCCCCCAACCATCCCGTGGCAGGGATGGAGATGAGGACAGATTTGAAGGGATTCTGAAGAAACGCAGTCTTTAATCAGGCAAAACTCCCATTGACTTAAATGGGACTATCCTCTGAGTAAGGAATGGATATCCGGCTCCCTAGAGTAGTTGACCTAATGGATCTACAATGCCTTTAGATAAGATTTTTTTTGCGCTGGTTGGGGATATTACCTGCTGTTTAATGAGTAGCTGTGTTTAATGAGTAACGTTTACATTCATTTGTAACCAACAACACATTTAGCTTGAAAGTGAAAAATGACATGGGGGAGAGAATGGGTTCCTTGGGTCTCCATGCTGTGAGAGAAAACATTAAACTCTAGCATATTTAAATGTAAATCACTTTTCATGTGTTTTTTTTTTAATAATTTTATGTTTTTTGGTGCTAATGATTTTAGATGTTTGTAGATATGGACTTGTACCATCAGATCCCCATTTTTTAATTTAATTTAATATTTGTATTGTGGTAATAGCCAAAGGCCTCAAGCAAAATCGATGTTTCATTACACTAGCACTGTACAACAGTATTCCCAACCCCAAGTATTCAAATATCCTGAGTCAGGCACCAAAAAATCTTGTGGTTTTACACTATATAAAAATTGCCTTCTGGTTTTTGAGCCATTAGGATTTCAATTTTCTGTGCAACTGTGATTTCTAGAAATGACTTTAAAAATAAGAAATGAGTCACGTGCTTCCAGGATCTGTGGCTTTAAGAAAAACACATCATGCAGGTTTCAGAGTGGTAGCTGTGTTAGTCTGTATCGGAAAAACAACAAGGCGTCCTTGTGGCACCTTAGAGACTAACAAATTTATTTGGGTATAAGCTTTCGTGGGCTAAAACCCACTTCATCAGATGCATGGAGTGGAAAATACAGTAGGCAGGTATAAATACACAGCACATGAAAAGATGGGAGTTCCCTTACCAAGTGGGAGGTAAGTGCTAATGAGGCAATTCAATTAAGGTGGAAGTGGGTTATTCTCAACAGTTGACAAGAAGGGATGAATACCAAGGGAGGAAAAATCACTTTTGTAGTGCTAATGAGGCCAATGTAATCAAGGTGGCCCATTTCAAACAGTTGACAAGAAGGTGTGAGTATCAGCAGGGGAAAATTAGTTTTTGTAGTGACCCATCCACTCCCAGTCTTTATTCAGTCCTTATCATGCAGTTTGAGTTGGTGACATGCTATACAGACCCATCTGAAGGGATTGTGCTTGTGATCTATTGTTGAAGGATGCGAAACAGTGTCAGTTAATGAAATTCAGTATTGTTTGTAGCTACTAAGATGAGAGATATATCTGCAGTCAAATATGATGCCTTTGTGCAAACAATCATGTGTGTGAATCAGGAGCGCCGCCAGTTTTTTTGCTGCCCTAGGCGGCGGAAGGTCCCGCCCCCGAAATGCCGCCCCCGACAGAGGCGGCGGAAGATCCGGCCGCCACGGTCGCCGCCCCCCAAATGTTAGCGCCCTAGGCGACCGGGTTGCGCCAGCCCTGGTGTGAATATAATTTTAAAAGTATAAAATAAATCTTCTTGAACACCAGTAAAAATGGGGCCAACACTTTTTTTACATCTTAGGTCTCTAAAGTTATTCCACTAAATTCATATCTGGGCACCTAAATAAGGGCTGATTTTCAGTGGTGCAGTGCAGTGCAGCTCTCATGGAAATCAATGGGAGTTGTAGTTCTCAGCACTTCTACAATCAGCTTACTTTTATTTAGGAGCTTAAATATGGCTTTAGGGGTCTAACTTTTAAGTATTTAAGATTGGAGTTATTGGCTATGGTTTAATTATTTTTAATGGAAAGACATTTGGTGTTTTCAAACCAATTTACTGGATTCCTTTTGAATTGCTTGTGGTATATTATAACAATCTGGGAACCTACTGTGTTTATCTGAAGTGATAAGGATCCACATAGTGGCATTTTAGAGCATTTGCTGCTTATCACATTGCTAAACTTCATCATAGATTTCCACCACAACTTCAACCCATCCATTAAACTGTCTCTAGAACACTCCCATGTTAGCTCAACTTCCTGGACCACACCACAATCAGCTTCAACAATGGAACCCTACAGGCAACTATCCACTAGAAACCCACAGATCACCACACCTACTTTCATAGATCCAGTAACCAGCCCAAACACACCTTGCAATTTGTTATTGACAGCCAGGTACTGGGATACCACAGAATATTTTCCAAAGAGGAAGTCCGGGATACACACCTTAATGCACTTAAAACTGCCTTTACCAAAGGACACTCCACCACAGAAGTAGATCACATCATGGAATGGGCCACCTAATACACCGAGAAAACCTGCCTCAATACAGAAATGAAATCCTCTCCAATGGCCCACCTGTGGTTGCCACCTACCACCCCACCTATATGGGGTATCATTAAACATTTACAAGCTATACTTGATGGGAACCACGTCCTGAAAGAAATCTTTCCTGAGGTTCCCCTGCTGGCCTTCAAACAAACCTGGAAACCTTTCTAACACAGGGGTTCTCAAACTGAGGGGCCTGACCCCTTAGGGGGGTCGCGAGCTGTCAGCCTCCACCCTCAAGCTCTGCTTCGCCTCCAGCATTTATAATAGTGTTAAATATAAAAAAGTGTTTTTAATTTATTGGGGGGAGGGGGGAGTCACACTCAAAGGCCTGCTGTGTGAAAGGGGTCACCAATACAAAAGTTTGAGAACCACTGCTCTAACATCATCATAGAAGCAAGCTCCCCACAGACCAGGACATGCCAACTTAAAGTGGCACCAGATTGTACCAGAACAACAGATAGAAAAACCCGCAGACACATCTCCTCTGCTACAATGATCAACACCCTCCACAACACACCTTACGAGATCCATGGGTCCTACAAATGCTTATCCCAACATGTGGTATACCTCATCCAGTGCACTAAATGCTAACAGACCACTTCACCTTGAATGGTTGGTCCCTTGAAATATGTACTAGTCTAATCTGTTCCACCTCCTATTTAGCTGTAACATTCTGAGTACAATTCTCAGACCTGAACAAACTTCTGTTGGTGGAAGGGAGAAGCTTTTCAGCTTACACAGAGTAGTCCATACCAGATGTTAAAGAGGAAGTGTAGGATATCTTGTAGTGAGCAGTTCTGGGAAAAGGATTTTTTTCCCCCTTAACACACTCTCTCCTCAGTCAATTTTATAAAATCATAGAAATGTAGGGCTGGAAGGGGCTTTGAGAAGTCATGAAGTCCAGCCCCCTGTGCTGAAACAGGACCAATTATACCTAGGCTAGCCTTGACACGTGTTTGTCCAATGTGTTCTTAAAAATCTGGGATTCCACAATCTCCTTTAGAAGTCAATTCCAGAACTTAACTATGCTTAGAGTTAGAAAGTTTTTTCCCCCCCTAGTATCACAGGTGCTGACTCCGTGGGTGCTCTGGAGCTGGAGCATGCACAGGAAAGACATAATTGGTGCTCAGCTCCTCTCCCTCCCCCCGAGCACCTCCCACCAGCCAGGATTAGCTGTTCAGTGACATGCAGGAGGCGCTGAGGGGGAGGGGGCAGAACGGGGTAGGAGTGGGAAGAGGCAGGGCAAGGATGGGGTGGAGGGGGGCCTGGGGCAGAGCAGGGGTCAAACACCCCCAGGGAAATTAGAAAGTTTGCGCCTATGTGTAGGATTTCTTTTTTGAGGTCATTAAAGAGCTCCTGATGGCCTCTTATATTCTTCCTATCTTTCCTTTGCAATAGGACAGTTTACAATTGTGCCTTAATATTGTATCCTTGAGAAACTGCCAGCTCTCCTGAACTCCTTTTTCCCTTAGATTTTCTTCCCTTGGGACTTTACCTAACAGTTCTCAGAGTCTGTTTAAAGCCTGCTTTTTTGAAGTCCATTGTCCTTACCATAGGTGCCGACTTCCCCTCTTTTTGTGGGTGCTTGACCCACCTCTGCCCCGGGGCCCGCTCCCACTCCACCCCTTCCATGAGGCCCTGCCCCTTCCCTGCCTCTTCCCACCGCTTCCCCAAAGTCCCCCCCCCAACTCTGCCCCCTCCCTGCCAATATTCCAATTCCTTCCCCAAATCTCCACCTTGGCCCCACCTCTTCCCCGCCTCCTCCCCTGAGTGCGCCACGTTCCTGCTCCTCCCCCTCCCTCCCTCCCAGAGCGTGCTAATGCTGCCAAACAGCTGTTTGGGGGCGGCCAGGCAGGAAATGTTGGGAGGTAGGTGGAGGAGCAGGGGGGAAGGAGGAGGTGGGGTGGGACGGGTGGGGAGCTTGCTGCTGGTGGATGCAGAGCACCCACTAATTTTTCCCCATGGGTGCTCCAGCTCCGGAGCACGCACAGAGTCGGTGCCATTGGTCCTTACTTTATTGGTCTCATTCTTTTCTTTCCTTAGAATCTCAAAATCTGTCACTTCACGATCATTTTCACCCAAATTAACTTCCACCTTCAGATTTGCTACCAATTTCTCCCTGTTGGTCAGAATCGAGTCTAAAATGGCTGCCTCCCGGTTTCTTCTTC